ATGTCGTTGGGATCTGCCGCTGAGACATCAGAGTCCTTGGACAGAAAATAGTAACTTAAATAGAAGCTTAAAATACTCTGAACAAATACATGTTTCTCTTCACATCTCTGTCTACATACCTCAGTGTCCCCACCATCCCTCTTTACCTCCTGTGCTAGCATGCTGAAGATGTTATCAGTGGCAGAAGTGCTGCAGAAGAAACACAAGTTACACAAAGTGAGTTATGATTTGTAAGTGGTGGTATGTAACTCTCCAAATCCTCCGACTTACCGATTCAGTGGTCCACTGCGAGTTGCTTTCCCCCTTACTGGGAATTCTGGTGAGCAAATTGATGAGAGGAAGCATTTTAACACAAATCTCTCACGGTGACATTACAATAATAATGTATAATAATACTATTTGGTTAAAAACTGCTCACTTACTTTCATCATCAAATAAGCTGTTGAGCAAATCGTCATCTCCAAATAAACCTTGGGAAAACAGAGAGGACACACATTCACACAAGCTTGAGACGATTCAGCTTATTATAGGATTTAGGGGATACTGGCAGAATGGAATATAAAATAGTAAGCATGCTTGCTGTACTAAAGGTTCACATTTTCTTTATCTTGACACTACTTTTCCTCACTTACCTCACTTCCTTTCCTCAGCGCTGATTGGTTCCTTGTTCACTCATTAACCTGACTGTGTTCACCTGCTCACCCCGATTTAAACCCTGAAGACCATTTCACTCATTCTTTCTTCATTGTCACATGGGGCAGAAGTGCTGGTAAGCATTTTCTTTCTCTTTAGTTTATTCTGGACATTATTAGTTTAACTGAATATTGTTTCCTCTTATTAATGTGGACTTTGTTTTATTTGACTCAAGTTCTAATTTTGTATTTGTTTTGAAATAAACCTTTGTGTTCAATTATACTGCCACCAGCTCTTATATGTTTAAGTTGTATGCTGTTTTTCTGGTTATTCTATATGACTAGTATTTTGTGGCATTACTACTTTAAGTTTCTTGGTTGTAAAATTAGTCACCAGCCACTTTATTAGGTACACCTGTTCAACTGCTCGTTAATTCAAACAGCTCATCAGCCAATCGCATGGCAGCAACTCAATGCATTTAGGCATGTAGACATGGTCAAGACGACCTGCTGAAGTTCAAACTGAGCATCAGAATGGAGAGGAAAGGTGATTTAAGTGACTTTGAACATGGCATGGTTGTTGGTGCCAGATGGGCTGGTCTGAGTATTTCAGAGAATGCTGATTTACTGGGATTTTCACACACAACCATCTCTAGGGTTTACAGAGGATGGTCCCAAAAAGAGACAATATCCAGTAAGCCAAAATGCCTTGTTGATGCCAGAGGTCAGAGGAGAATGGCCAGACTGGTTCAAGATGATAGAAAGGCAACAGTAACTCAAATAACCACTGGTTACAACCAAGGTCTGCAGAAGACCATCTCTGAACCAACAACACGTCAAACCTTGAAGCAGATGGGCTACAGCAGCAGAAGACCACACCAGGTGCCACTCCTGTCAGCTAACAACAGGAAACTGAAGCTACAGTTCACACAGGCTCACCAAAACTGGACAATAGAAGATTGGAAAAACGTTGCCTGGTCTGATGAGTCTGGATTTCTGCTGCCACATTCAGATGGTAGGGTCAGAATTTGGTGTAAACAACATGAAAGCATGGATCCATCCTGCCTTGTATCAACGGCTCAGGCTGCTGCTGGTGGTGTAATGGTGTGAGGGAGATTTTCTTAGTATCAACTGAGCATGGTTTAAACACCACAGCGTACCTGAGTATTGTTGCTGACCGTGTCCATCCCTTTATGACCACAGTGTACCCATCTTCTGAAGGCTACTTCCAGCAGGATAACGCACCATGTCACAAAGCTCAAATCATCTCAAAGTGGTTTCTTGAACATGACAATGAGTTCACTCACCAGATCCCAATCCAATAGAGCATCTGTGGGATGTGGTGGAACGGAAGATTCTCATCATGAATGTGCAGCCGACAAATCTGCAGCAACTGTGTGATGCTATCATGTCAATATGGACCAAAATCTCTGAGGCATGTTTCCAGCACCTTGTTGAATTTATACCTCAAATCATTAAGGCAGTTCTGAAGGCAAAGGGAGTCCAACCTGGTACTAGCAAGGTGTACCTAATAAAATGGCCAGTGAGTGTGTATCAGTCAGCATAACTATGGGGTACAGCATTCAAATAACACTTGAACTTACTTTGGGATGGTTTGCCCTTCAGCTTTGCAGCCTGTAAATGACAATAAATATGTTGTGATACAGATAGGATAATGTAATTCAAGCAAATCAGTTGCGTTTACATACAAAGTGCCAGAAAACATGCGTTTAACTTTTCCAAGAATCCAGTAAACACTAATAAATAATGGAAATGTTGCTACTGGCAGCAGCTTGACTCACCATGTCGAATGTCTCCTGATGGGGTTAAATGTGAGAGTAGTTAGCTAGCTAGCTAACCTAGCTAAATCTGATTAGGCGTCTCCTGTCTCCATTGGTTACCACACCGTTACACCGATGAGCATTCACGTTAAGGACACTATACATGATGTAGGTCGTAATTGGTTACATACCGTGTTGTTTCATGATTAAATACAGTCGAGTTTAGTCGTTTAGCATTTTTAAAATTGCCCGGTTTATGTGAAGTGACGTTAAGTTAACGAATGAAACGAGTAACACCGCCGCTACCGTAAACGCAGCATCAGAAGGTAAGTTACTAACGTACAAAATGGACAGTGCTGTTCGTTAGCCATACTAGACATTTAACCATACGGTAATTCAGTCTTATAATACAAACTTTATGCGTATCATTATAAAGTCTTAGCTTTGAGCTGTGCACCCAGCAAACGGCAATTCAGAAGCATCTAGATGTAGCAACGTTTCCACAACCGGCGCGAGCCACACGCTTCCTGTTTACAGCTCGCGGTGCATTGTGGGTAGAGTAGTTTTTATAGCGTACAATTTAAGAAATCGCGTTTCAGAAAATGTGTTTGCTTTGGGCAGTGTTTAAATTATGAAGTTGGTTATTCTGAACTATGTTTGACATCTTAACCTGCTTGTTTACTTGGTGAAATGTACGCAGCGCTTTCACCACCAGGTGGCGTCAGAGCTCAGGAAAATTTAGCCAAAGCAAATCAGTTCCAGCAAAACTGAAGAGCTGAATAATTTATCCTCTGAGAGCCATGTTTAATTCAGTGAGGTCTAGGCCTGATGTTGCTCTTAATCAGCACAATGATAACCAGTAAGCACATGGCTCAGATTTAGCTTTATAATGCTATTCCTTGTGAGACTTGAGTCTTTTTCAGGTGTGTCAGAGTTGGGGTTAGACATGCGTGCCAACATGATGTGATTTTATTATTAACATAATTATTATGTTGAGAGATTTGTACTATAAACATGGTGAACAACCACACAGCCTCAAATATACAAAAGGCACCACCACTTTCCCCACATAGCAGCAAGACACACAGACATTATAGTTGTTTACCTCCTTTAGTTGTTGTTTTGCTTGTTTTTGTAGTCATTGTGCTTCTCTCTCTGGTTTTGTATAGGGTGAATGATAACCATAAAATGTAGTTTTGATCTGATGCCATGTAATGCAAAGCCAGAATCATGAAATATCGATACCAATACTGATACGGAAACTACTGAACAGCTTATGATGAAAAATTACAGTTTGAGGTGAAGAGGCTGAAGATCTGGTTTGACTAAAATGTTAATTTTACAACTACCTGGATTTTTCTTGCCTGAGCCTCTCTGAAAAGACTCTGCCAGTGAAGTCTGTTTCTGTGTCAGGGGTCTGGATGCTGAGGCATTTCCCTCCTCCTTCCTTCTTTTTGTTGCAGCACCACATTCTCTTTGCCATGGTTTTTTTCCTCCTTCAGTCAGCCATCATTGCAATCATGTGTTGGATTAACTAGTCAGGTTGTGTGCTGCATAAGCACGATACATAAGTTGTTTATGCATGTTGATTTAAGTGCACACAACATGACAACAGCAGAGGAGAAGCAAAGAGTACATCATTGTTGACACTGACAGTTTTGCTCTTGAAACACAAATGGGCACAAGCTAGAAGAGAGAAACGGATCCCTGGTTTGGTATCAATCCTACTGATGCAGGGATCGATTTTCATAGCACAAACATATCTGTAGTCTCAATATTTTGGTATCCATCTGCCCACCCCTTGTTTTGTGTCTCTTTGTTGTCAGTTTGTGTATCTCTGTAGTTGCTTTGTGTCTCTTTGTAGTTGTTTGCCCCTTTCCGTAGTCTTTGTGACTCTCTTTGCGTCTCTTTGTTCTTATTTTGAGTCTCCTCGCAGTGTCACTTTGAGTAATATTTTGCAGGTGATGTCGGGGGACCACTACAACTTAGGGCAGTGGGGCCCTTTTCAATAATCAATCCATAATATCAATATTTATGACTTCTTTTTTTTTTTTTAAGAGCGCACTGATGATCTCAAGGCAGGAAGTTACTTTTACTTAATACTTTTACCTAATCCAAGGAAACTATAAAAGTTATTTATAGTTTCCTTGACTTAATCAAAGAAGAAATAGCTGAAAAACACAACTTTAATGTTTTTAGAGATCATAATTGATTGTGAGGCAACAGTGCAGGCAAAATTCACATGTACTTTGAAGGATAACACCATTTACTGTAATGTCAGCCTTGTGCAAATAATAATATGCAAATTGTAAGATTTATTTTACTCTTTCGGGGGCAAAAGACATTACTCACAGCACAGGATGGAGACAATAAATAAATAAATACAATCAAATATGTATTGTCAAGAGGCAAAACTGACTGTTCAAACTACAGAAGCCTGCAAGGAAAAGGAAAATAAATGCTTTCTCTTGTTTTGATAAAAGAAATGTACCCTTTTGAAAAAGTCATCAGCTAATCAAACAGATATTTTTAGTGCATGTGAAAGACAACCTTCATTTGCATTCTGAAGCACACAATCACACACAAGTCAAATGCATTCCATTGCTTTATTTTTGGGCTCCTGTCTGAACAACAAACCTTTAAGGGATTCACAGAATTGATATACATGCAATACATTACAATACAATGCATGACTTCAGCCCCTTTTTCTCAAGAAATTAGGTCACTTATGCGATATTAAGAGACACTACTCTTTAAGAAACATCCATCACAGCTCATCCTGTCCTCATACATACATGTAACACAGATCATTATTTTTAAAAGCGAGCAAAAGCAGGAAATCAAAGAAATTATTACTGCTTGTTTTTATGCAGAGGCACATAACATGTTTATCACCTTCTGATCATATACCCGACTTTGAAGTGACAGTGTTGTAAATTTTCATGATCAGTGCATGGCATTTGTCAGGCTTCAACTTCTGAGCTGGAATTCACCCCGGAGTCACTGTTTCTTGTTCCAGTGGTGAGAGCGTCTGCAGGACAGATAGGGGAAGCCATGATGAAAACAGGCCTCGTTGTTTTTCAAGCCCCACTTTTCTTCTTTTTTTTTTCTTTTTTTTTTTTTTAAATCCTGGTGGGAGTCTTGGTGTGAGCTGTCAAGTGCAGATAAATCAGAGTCTGATCAATGACAGAAAGCAAAAAAAAAAATTACAGGAAATCTCTCTGCGTAGCATCCAGGGAAATAAGTCTTGATAGCAGATGCCGCTGAGAACAAAAGTGAAAACTAATCAGGGTTTGTAGCTTTCAAAGTCGTGACGTAAATACTTTTTTTTTTTTTTTTTGGACAGTTTGTTTTCTGGTGCATTCTAAATATAACATATGACAGAGCTCACCTGATGCTCACCAGACTTGAGATGATGGCCTACTCTGGTCATGTCTGCAGGGAAATAATCAGAAAACAATAAATCACCCTGACTCAGCTAAATGCACTTGCCTCCATAAAAATGATTGATAAAGCAAATGAAAGCAAACACATCAAAGTCCTGGGATTTGCATGCATACTTTGTGCAGCATTAGGTACAATGTTTAGTAGTTTATTACTTCATAGTGAGATCTTTCAGCTGCATTAAGCGGTGTGGTCGTAGGGAGGTAATGTATTTATAATAACCCTCCGAAGAGATGATGGATTGTTGTTCTGCCTCTGAATCATTTAGCATTAGCAGCGTAGCAGTGAATACTTAAAAGCTAAATGTGGGGCAGGCATCTTAGCTCTTTATGCATCTGTGCCTCTGTGACATGCTCCACTGCTCCACTTTCTCCCCTTGTCTGGAGCCCCGTCTGTAAACCTCCCCGAACACACTGACACACACACACTGACACACACACCACTTCAACGTTACTGTCAACGTCTCTTTGTCTTGCTTAGATGTTTTCCTGTCTCTGTCGCCCACTGTGATTCTCAGTGTTGGCAGTATATTGAATTCACAACCTAAATCAATTTTAAACGCTACTGCTCTCTAAAACTGTTTCGCATTATCCCAATTTTTTTTTTTGCTAAAATACTGCCAAAAACACAAACACGGCTCGCCTCAAATAACTTTTGTCCAAAGTGAAGTGCAAAAGTTATTCTTAAAGGGAAACGCCACTGATTTTACATCTGAATAACACTGATCAGTCACTTGTTATTTGTTGTATCATCATGGACGGATTATGAGACAATGGGTCCCTGGGCACAGACACTCAGAAAGCACACACATTGTGGTTGTTAAGCCTCTCTTTGTTGTTGTTTTGCATCTCTTTGTAGTCGTTACACATATCTCTGTGGTTTTGTGTCACTTTGTGGTAATTTCGGTTCTCTTTCTATTTTGTGTGTGTGTGTCTGTGAATGTTTTGCTCCATTTGTAGTTATTTTGCATCTGTTTTTGATAATTGTATGTCTCTTTGTGGATGTTTTGCCCCCTTTCGTGGTCGTAGTGAGTCACTTTGTGCCTCTTTGCAGCTGATTTGCATGTCTTTGTTGTTGCTTATGTCTCTTTGTGGTCTTTTTGTGTTTCTTTGTAGCTGCTTTCCATCTCTTCATGGTCATTTTGCATCTCTTCATGGTTGTTTTGCCCCTTTTCGTAACTGTTGTGGGTCTCTGCATGTCTTTGTGGGTGTTTTGCATCTTGTTGTCATTTTGAGTCTCTTCCTTGTCAGCACGTGTTAATTTGAGCGACATTTTGCAGGTGAAGGTCAGGGGGGGCTGACATTCGGGCCCCTGGGCATGTGCAGTAAGCCTGTTCAGTAATCCATCCATATGTCTAATGTCTTCTGTGGATCTGGAGGAGCTTTGTTAAATCCAAGAAAATGCTTAAATCCTTACTTTTCACCTGTACCTAGGTTTGAATGTACGAGAGTTTTGATGTGCATACTTTATATTGCTGTATTTTACTGCACAGTTTATATATTTTTTAAATATTCTAAATATTTTGTTTGTGATGTGTTAGGTATTTTATCTATTTTATTTCACTTTTACGTTATTTTATATTTCGCTAATGCTTTTTATTAGTGTTTTATTTAATGTTCAGCCCTTTCAGACATACTTTGTGATATCTGGGTATAATAAACTCTGACCCAGTGATTATGCACCTCACCATTAGTCTCGCCACCAGACAATCAGAGATCTCCAGCTTAAGCAAAGCGTCTAAAGACTGACTTGTGAGTCTACCTCACCATTTACGTCTAATGCCAGTATTCAGTGCTAATGCAGGAAGTAGCAGAGAGATTGAACGTCTGAGGTCTGAGGTTTTATGGAATCACCCAATCTTGGAATTCTCAGCCTGGACTATGAGACTACAGCTTTATAACAAATAGCAGTAATGCTTTATCTGACAGGTCCACTATTTCCTGATAATTCCCAAGGAAGTTTTCTGGGGAGAAATATAAAAATTGGTTGTAAATAGTCACAAAGCTCTGACACAGGTGTCTGAGTTGGATAAGTTAAAAAAAATTGTTTATTTCAAGAGGAATTTTCTAAAAGAACAAGTCCATTGAAAGCCAAGTCTATATCCACTGATATTAAATTTAAACTTTAATTTTAATATAACTTTATATATGTGCATGATGACCATTTTGCACTAGTTAAAATATTCTGTAGTTTATTCAAAATAATTAAAGTTAATTAATTGAAAGCTGAACATTGTGTTGCATTCTTGTGTTATCCAGTCTTTAATAACCTTTAACTTCATCTGCTGGTTCAGACTTTTAACATGTGAGAACAGGAACAAACTGTAGGAAATTATCAGGGTGTGCAGTAGAATTGCTGGCACAGCCCTAACCAACCTCATCGATGTGCACAAGGTGGCAGATCCAGACCACCCGCTTCATGGAGAGCTCAGGTCGTATCCGTCCGGACGCAAATATCTGCTGCCGAGATGCAGGGCAAATAGACTGAGGGATTCATTTGTCCCCGCAGCGATTAGCCTTTTATATGACTTGTTTTGACTTGCTGTGTGTGCTGTCTTGACATATATTGGTTTCTATGTTGTTTTGATAACTGCTAGTTGTGGAACTAATTGCCTCAAGGGGATAATAAAGATTCTTGAACTTGAACTTGTGCATTCCTTTTTAGAAAATTATAGGAAGCTATGTGACTCATGGAAAAAAAGTGTTCCTAAAAATCCTGTTTTCCATCTGGACCTTGGCGAACATGGGTGTTTCCCAGGCAGGGAATGCTATCAAGCTGCATGTTGCAAGTTTTTGGACCAAAACTCACCACTTAAAGTCAGGCTAATTTGGCCTCTGCTGCCTGCAAGTGCAGTACTCAAATCATGGGAGTACCCCTTTAAGGCCCCTGTGGCTGTAAAGTACATTTACTCAGTCTGTTTTCACTGACTTGATTGTTTGTGTGTCCTTACCCTGTGATGTTCACTGTTGTCATTTTTGGGTTTCTGCTGCTCCATTGCTCTTTGTGTATGGCACGTCTGTCTCCTCTGTCTGCCTGTGATACGGGACATTAGCAGAATTCAGTATTAAATGCTCCATGTGTATCATCACAGTGTCTTCTTGAACACACTTATCTGGAAACAGTTTGGTTAAGGAACTCATTTAAAAAGGAGGTTTCAGTGTTTATTAGCTCATAATTGTGTAAGCTAGCTGTTGCCATGCTCCGTGGTGCTGTAGCCTCCTGGTATTGTTTGCCATTGCTGTGTGAGTGGCTGAGCAAGGCCGGGGGGGCTGAGAAGATTGCACTTTGAGTCAATTAGCAGCCACGAGCTCAAGAGCTCTGATGCTTTCCCCTCCATTCATCTCTCCATTAAAAAAGAAAACCTGGAATACACTGTTATGTATCGAGCCACTTAATCCGACACTGTTGCTCAAGGCGTACCCTAAAATAATCACTGGAGTGATTTCAAATCAATGATGCAGATAAGTCTAACCCTATCTCCCCCACATATGAAACGGCCTTGCACTTTCTGTGTATGTGTATGTTCATATCTGCTGTATGGGTGGACATTTTTACATGTGTTTATTTTATGAAGTATAAAATACTTTTCTCACAGGCCTCAAGCTCTTGAATGTATCTTGTCAGGCACTCCAGTCTTAAACCAAATCTTGACAAAAACTAGTCTCTTATTTCTGTTTCATAACTGAAAACACACAGATTTTCAACAACCACTGTTCTTTAGTGCCTATTAAATGTCACGGTTCATGATAAGTCAACCCAGTCGTTGGAATAAATGTTGGCATTGTACATTTCTGCAAGTACTTTTCATATTTCGGGGATGTGTTTTTAAATTTGAAATGGTATGTGACAACACTGTAATGTGTGGTTAGGTTTAGGCACAACAACCATTTGGTTAGGGTTAGGAAAACATGATTTGGCTTAAAATATTGGTTTGATCGCAAAAAACATGGCTCTAAAAGGTTCCAGCCTCTTGTGAAATAATGCCTGGTTTGGTCCCTAAAAACACAGCTGTCAATGTCTCAATCCCGTGTTAAAAATTGCCTTCTTTTGTTACTATAAACACTGTTAGAAATACCCCAAACTCTGGATGTTTGTATTGACAAAAATCACTGGAAATGTCCCAAACTCAATAAAAAATAGCTGTTTATGTTGCTATAAACATGGATGGAAATGTCCTGAACTGCCATGAAAAATACCCTCGTTTGTTGATACAAACATTACTGGAAATGTCTCAAACTCTTGTTGAAAAACACCCACTTTTGTCGTTACAAACACTGCTGGAACTGTTCCAACCTCTTGTGGAAAAACACCCGCTTTTGTCGCTACAAACACTGCTGGAAATGTTCCAACCTCTTGTGAAATAACACCCGCATTTGTCGCTCGAACATGTCTGGAGAAGACACAAACTCTTATTGAAAAATACCTGTTTTTTGTCACTACAAACATGGCTAGAAATGTCCCAAACTCATTTAAAAAATAATCGCTTTTGTTGCTATAAACACTGCTGGAAATGTCCTGAACGTCCATTTACAAATACCCACTTTTGTAGCTACAAACACAGCTGGATATGTCCTGCAATCTGTTTAAAAAATACCTGCTTGTGTCTCTTCACAAAGACAACTGGGAATGTCCCGACCTGTTTTGTGTCACTCCATCTACCTACCATCCTCTGCTCCTCCTGATGAGAGACTCAGCTCATATACATTTAACCTGATCTATGTCACTACAGAACTATATATGACACATATGAAACATACAAATGTAATATAAAATGTAAAATGCCAACATTTTATTCTAGTAAATGTTTTGGATCAGTACTCACGGTTTGATTTTGTTGGAGAATCTCTGCCGCAGGATCAGAGCGATGGTGGTGAGGACCGCCAAAGTGGTACACATGGTCCTAACCCCAAGGATCTCCTGCCTCAAGGCCGATGATGGTTCAAAGCACTGAGACTTCTCCTTCCATTGAAAGGCTTGAATGGCAAAAAGTGGTGTAACAGTCTGACTATTCCTGTCTTTCCTCTTGGCTCTCACTCATGATTGGGAAGATTAGCTCAGAGGATTAGCTAGGATCAAGGCAGGACTAGGAGGTAAACAGAGCATGCTGTGTGTTTCTATTCTGAAAACAACCCACCTCGCCCCCATGTCGTCAACACAGCAAGCAAAATCAACCTCGATATTGTGGGTAGCCTGATTTTTACCGCAAGAATTAACAGATACCAATCAAATGATCATATATCTTGATAAAACCAGTTAATTGCTGCAGTCTTCCTACAATATCTAATGAAAAGATGGAACACAGTGGGATAAATGGGGGTAAAAATAGTGACTTCCAGCAGCTCATACTTAGCACTGCTGACTCAAGCAGAGAAGAAGGGAGCAGTAGGCCAAGCGAGACAGAGAAAAGGTCTAATTATTACAACACAGACATGCAGGGGAATCAGATTAGAGCAGCTATAAGTTTAAAAGGATTTAACATCGTGAAAATGAGGCTTTTCTTTGTATTTTTATTTCAAAATTGTGTTAGATACAGATACAAAGGTGAGTTATAATGAAAAAAAATGTACAATCATCACAATTAACTGTTAAAAATGTAAAAATGTCTCCTTAATATCCCGTTAAGTAAACACAAGTAGTACAGACTGATAAAAGAAAGGGGAGGAAAGGAAACATCACATGATATTTGGAAAATATTTACATGGCAGTTTCCAGATCCACACATTCAGTAGAAGGCACATCCAAGTCAAATGTGACCTCTTGTCCACTGTCGGGTTTACGTTTGCATTTTCTTCCTCTTTGCTCACTCCTTTAAATAGTTTGGTCCTTTACAAGAGTATTGTAAGAGCTTTATGTTTTCACTCCCTGTCCCTCTCTGTCTCTCTCTCTCACACACACACTCACACACACACACACACACACACACACACACACACACACACACACACACAGTTAGCAATGAAAAGGCTACAGTACCCGTCTCTATTCTGAGTGTATGTCCCATAGCCCACGATTATCTTAGATTATATTAAACTGTATTTGTCCCTAGATACATTACTTCCCTTCAAAGGTCAGTACAGTTAATTCATTCCTCTCTTAGGAGGCCGTGGCCCAAAACTTAAAAGTCTCTTGGAGATTGTTGTCCACTAAAACCACACTAAAAGTCTCACCCAGTTGAAGTTGAATGCTTAGTCCAGCCCACTTCCTCATAGACGGCTGAGATGCTGTAGCAGACGGTTGCCAGGAGTTTGGTCCACGCTGCGGCCACCTCTGGTGTCACCACCTCCGGATACACTTCTCCTAGGACCTCCAGTATCACACCACTCAGGAACTGGACAAGACACAACAGTACTTAAGACAACTGATCTTTCGCTAGGCCCTGCTGATAAACATGGAGCCCACACTGTAACTAACTGCACTCCCTGAAGAAATATGATCATATTTTTGGTGAAATGAATGAGTGATTCCAGAGAGAAGCAGACAGAGGGGTCTACAGTCTGTGTTTGAAGGATATATCCAGGATGTCAAACTGAATCAGCAGCAACAACAGATTAAAAAGACAAAGATAGTTAGAAGCTAAAGCCGAACTATAGGCTACAGATCACAGTGTAAAAGTGAACCACCACATCACTGCTGATCGCCACACAAGACAATGAATATAAAGGGAAACTTTGCTGATATTGAACCAGCTGTGTGGCATCACAGTGTGTGCAGATGAACGGTGTTTGACTTCGCCCCTGTGCTGCTCCCAGCACCTGGACCTTCACTGGCGGACGGGCAGGGATCTCCAGTGGAAGTCAAACAACATTCATCTGCGCACAATGCGATGACACACAGCTGGCTGAATATCAGCAAAGTTTCCCTGCTTCCCTTCACTGGTTCCTGTACAGCAGGGTCAGTCTTTGTTTCACTGTTATAATCATTAAAAAGCAAAAGCAGCATGTGTATACATTCAGTAGGCTATATCTTCAGTAGCTAGCTAGCTAACCCTACACTTTTCAGGGTTTGATTTTGGTTTTGGAGCAGGGAAGAAAAGTATATCTTTTTCCAACCTCTCCAGGTAACGAGTATCATTAATACACGACGTGCCCCAGGCACAACATTTAGCTCCAAATCCACAAAACCAGCCTGAAAATGAAGGAAATCTGAAACGACTGCATTAGAGTCAATGGAGCAAAGCTGTGTTGGACCCTGGTCTGAGCCGACCTGATGCTACGTTATGATTGGCCAGTCTGTGTGCGGGTATAGGTGTAGCCATAGCTGTTGCTATATCAGCATGTTTTCAGTTCATGAAAATTAATTGTAATGCTTTGGTCACATAAAAAAGTCTTGTTCAGTGTTTGGTTGAACTAAAAGACTGCATACAGAGTATACAGTTTTTCTAGTAAGAACATTTTGTTTTAATGGTTTTAAGCCTGTTTTTGGCTAGCAAAAATTAGCAGCTAGTTAGCTCATCCAAATATGATCACTTCTGGCTCCAAAAATCCAAGATGGTGACAAAATGGCACACTTGAGGCTAAAAAATGGGAGTCCACCAACCAATGGGTGACGTGACAGTCTATGATTTTATCTCATTGGTTAGCAGTTTTAAGAATCATTATTCTATTAATGACTCAAAAACTATATGTTGTATGACATAATTTCTTATCTGACACATGTCTCTCAACCTATCACAGTGAGCTCTGGTGTTTCCCACTGTCACCCAAGCGTCCTCACTGTTTTACTGGATTGTGCCCTCTAATGGTCAAAAACCCCTTAGGCAGCTTTAACTGTTAAACTAACCTTTAAAGTTAATTTCTGATTGTGTGGGTGTGTCACTCTCTTATTACCTTGAAGTACACAGGCTCCACCTTGTGTCGAAGTGCGTGAGCCTTGCCCACTACCTTCAGCACCGAGGCCACCTTGTCGGCGTTGTCAAGGCTCTCCACCATTGTATTGAGGGCATTCATGACTCTGCGAGCATGCTTCCTAAGCTGGGCGCTCCTCTCCAGCTCCTCCGACTCCTCGATGTGCTTAAACTGGCTGAAGTACTGCTTGGATGAGGGGAAGTTCACAAACAGCCTGCAAAGGAGGAAGGCGAAACAGAGTAAATGAGAGATATGAGTATGAGCAGCTGCTGCGAAGCTCCGCTAATCTCATCGCCCTTCAGCCTGCACCAACTCGATCCTGCAAACCCACGTCCATTTTTTTTTTCTGAGCTGGCAAGATACCATGAGTAAATATCAGCACTGACATGAGAGTGCTGCATATTTTCCCTTTAAATGTTTGCTTTAAACTATTATCTGGGTACGGCGTGTATCCCATACATTTGAAAAGAATTTCAAAAGTGAAGGAAAAACACTCAACTGCGGGGGAAGTATGACATTAAATGGCACATTAAAGTTATTAACCACAACAGATGAACACATTTGTTTGATGACTTTGCACGTACATTCTCTTCTATCATACCTGACTTTTTCTTCTGCATACTTTGGCTCATGAAGTGATTCAGTAGCAGGCATGATAAGCTCTCTGCTGATAAGTTGACCTCTTATTATTAATAATTCCTCATACGTTTTTCTGCAGGTGATTGTATAATTATGTGCATGGGGCAAATGTGAGGTCACATTTTTTCCCCTTAGTTAGGCCTATAAATCATATTAAAGGTCAGAGTGTAGAAATAAATCTTGCAGCATCAGATAAAATGTATGTATATTTCTCCAGAAGGTTTATCTAACTCTGATAGTGTCAGGGAGGAATTCTTGTTTTACAACTGTTGGTGGTTCACGTGACTAACGACGATGACTGACGTGACAAAATAACTCAACTCTGACTTGTAGTTCTACACGGGAAAAGGACAGCGGTTTTCTGGGTCAATGTCCTGTGCTTGTTGGACCCATCATCCTATACTCCCACATGCCTTAAAGGGACAGTTCATCTCAAAACCAAAAATACATATATTTCTCCTTACCTGCATTGCTATTCATCAACCTTGATTGTTTAGGTGTGAGTTGCTAAATGACCGAGATATCGGCTGTAGCAATGTTTGCCTTCTCTCCAACATAATGGGACTAGATGGCACTCAGGTTGTGGTGCTGAAGGTGCCAACAATACATTTGAAAAACTAAACAGCAATGTCTCTTTCCAGAAATCATGACCCGGTTACTCAGATAATCCAAAGACTGTTTTCTGTCTACCAAACTACATCCATCCCCGTATCACTGTGCAGAAGTTAGCGTGCATCTTCTGCTAGCTCACCTAGCACCACTAAGCTAGCTAATGTTACAGCTCAGCCGAGGAGGACGCCATTCATGTGTACATCTTGAGCTGTCATGAGCAGGAGTCTCACGTTCATGAGTAGATGCACACTTCCTTTTTGTGTGCTAATATACTTCGAGGGTGTAGTTTGACAGAAAGAAAATAGTCCCTACATGAAACTGCTCACAACAAGGTCTGTGGATTATCTTGAGTAACCGGGTCATGATTTCTGGAAAGAGACATTGCTGCAGAGCTTTTTGAATGTATTTGTTTTGGCGCTTTGGGCACCACAAGCCGAGTGCCATCTGGTTCAATTATATTCCAGAAAGGGCAGACTACAGCCGATATCTTCAACACTCCACACCAAAACTATCTAGACTGAGAAATAGTACTCCAGGCAAGAGGAAAAATATGTATTTTTGATTCTAGGGTAACCTGTCCCTTTAAGCTGACTTTGCCAATAATAATAATAATATTGGGGATGGGTTTACACTGGATCTCATATAGACGCTAAAGGGTGTATTGTGCACCTGATGGTGAGGGCCATTGCCCAAGCAACATTTTTTCAATGCCCTGGAAGTGACACCAGTCTGAACCAACCGAACCACTGAGCTTTAGAGCTGCTGACCGCAGCGAATAAAGCAGAAAAATAACATCCGTTGCCACAGGATTTATATAACTGAGTTTATAACTGAAAGCATATCTTGCAGCAGAAATCTGGTCTCTGGATTCACACAGTCTTGTTACTATATGTGGTCCCCCCTTGTGAACCTGTTGGCTCAGGTGTCTGACTGGTTCTGTACTATGGTTCCTGTCATGCCTCAAAAGTAGGGCCCAGGATCCTGCATGATTTCACAATTCCTAACAAAAGGTGAAACGTGCTAATTAGAGAGGGAGACATGAAAAAAATGATTACTCAGGGTACCATGAGCACTACTGAAGCTGCCTTTCTTTTACTGTATGGCTGAGAATTATTTTTACAGCAACGATAGCTCGCATTTCATGTTTCATTTGGCATAAGTATTATTTTTGCACAAGTTCCAGGCCCATTTCTTTGCACATCCTTCTCTTTCTAAGAACAAATACTCAGTTCAAAGAAATTTCCTTTGAATTATATCCTGGTTTGACCCCCAGAGGTATCACAGAGAATTAGCAAAGAAGAGCCTAAAAACTCCCCCCTCCCACAGTCTGGGAAGAGGGCCAATGCATCTGGTTGCTGGCTATCTCAACCTGATGTCCCATCTCCCACTGTCTCTGCAACAACTAGCACAAAAAGGAAGCAAATATTTCTCTGTTAGCTCTGAAGCATATGGCTGGATATTAGTTTCAAGTGTCAATTAAAATGGCTGAAAAGGGAGGCGATGGAAGGTGGTGTCTCAATCTGTCACCTGTGGGTGAAAGGCCTTGGCAAGTTGTGGAGCAATGTATGAGGAACCAGGGTGTTTAATCTTTCTTTCTTGTAATTACAGGACCTGTGGTTGCATATAAATAGCCTCATTAGTACTTTGTATGTATTTTAATCCTTTCTTATCTATTCTTCAAGACTAATCGAAAAGCTGATTCCAGAGAAAGTTTCTAATTTCAGACAGCGTCAGAATTTGCTACTGTAGATCTTTTAACCTTGAGACATTTAGCTTAAAGGATTTAAGTTGGCAATGAGGTTCAGGTGGAGTGACAATGATCTACTATTTACTGTCGCGAGGAGAATTTACCATGGTCATGCTTATCGATCAATCCTCATTCCTCAAATTCCTGAAGGTCGTAGGGTCTTTGTGAAGGAATGTGGAGGTAGAAAATACGGGGAAAGTGAGATAAATTAATTGAATTTTATCACAGAAAGAAGAGGAATGAGATTCTGATTTGTGCTGCAGCTAAATCCTAATAGTCATTCGTTTTACTGACTGTAGCTGTAAACTGCGTCCTGCGTTTGCTCACCTCCCTCTCAACTTTCACCCCCTGCAATCAGAAAGGATTATGTAGGCACGCTGTGTCATGCAGCGAATCTCGTCACACGTGGAAGGACGTCAAAGCCCTCACACCATTTCCAGATTCCCTGCAGATGGTTCTTTTTAGAGCTGTTTCTTCTCGCTGCTCTCAAAGTAAACATTAAAGCGAGATAACAACAGGGGTGAAAACAACTGCAGGAACGCTTCAATGAAATTGTACGCTTGCCTTGAAATGTATAAATGACAGATGAATAATATTCAGCAATACTTATAATGATGAATGTTGTGATTGCAGAGACATGATGGACATTTTAAAGGTCTGACTGCAGGTTGCCCCGGCGCTCCATACAAGCATTCAAAACACTGACCTGCTGCAGGGGAGGAAACCCTTTTTGGTGCCAAAGATGTCTGACTGATGGATTATAATGTTTATCTTTTGCCTCTCCTATTTCATAAATAGGATTAAGAAAAAGGAGGAGAGGTGAGAATATCACGTGCGGAAATACAACCGACTGAGTTCCTTTGGACAGAGTGGAAACTTGTAAAGTCAGTCAGATCATTTGATTTCAGCAACTGAGGGAGGATAATCCCACGGTTTGGGTTTAACTTGATTTAGTTAGATGTCTGCGAGAGAAAAGCATCAGTGGCTCGAGCAGGTGCAGTGATATTAATGAGGGGGGAAGAGACAAAATGCAAATTTGACCTTATCAGTGGTGAACTAATTAAAGTTGAAGAAATGAGGAGAAAATTGATGAAAAGTCCCAAAATAGAATGAGATGCAGTTTCGTGTGGCATGCAACTGCTAATCAGTCTCCCTTCTAATTATACTCAGCATTTATAACCCTCTCCACCATGATTTTTCTCTGTCACACTATCAAATATCTTCTGAACTCTTCATCAAACAGGAGTAAATCTAACAAACAGAAATACCTGACAAGTATGGCCACCCCGACATCATCACAGTTCTGGTAGACTTTTGCCCAGGAGTCCTGGATCATCACCCTCTCCTTGTCAGTCAGTGGGCTCGGCCGCTCCAGGTGGTCCACCTCTCCCTCTCCTTGCATCCTCTCCATCTGGGAACACAGTTGTGCAGAGCTGAGCACGTGCAGAAGGAAGGCAGGGCTGATGATGACAGTACCCCCCCCCCCCCCTCAAAAATAAACACTACCTTTATTTCTTGGTTGTGTCTCTTTTTTTGATGTGAGAGGAAGAAAATCTGTTTTCCCTTCCCCCCCTTTTTTTCCCAGTGAGAATCTTTGCTCTCCACCTCTGAATCTCTGCTGAGCGAGAGTGTGAGTGGAGAACAGGCAGAAAAAACACAAGAAACACACGCAGCGAACGAGGAGGAGCCTCTGTACTCTCTTTTTACACTCTCCCTTCCCTCCCTCTCTCTGTCTCTCCCTCCGTCTTTCTCCCTCTACCCACCTCACCTTTGTAGGTGGTGTTTGATGAAATCATGATGAGCTAGAAAACAAATCCCTAATAAGAGCGTCAGATATGTAACACATGCAATGGGTGAGCATGGATGCGATGTAAGATTATGACACTGGAATAAGATAAAGGAGCACGTACCCTGACCTTTTACCTCTGTGGTTGTCGTCACCATTCCAGACTATCCAGGAGATTAACCTGTAATATTGAATTGCTCACAAAGCACTGCCGACGTAAATGTAGAAACACAAAATTAAACAGTGTGACGTCCATCAGAATTAGGGCAGGCGTATTTCATTTTGTTTGTTCTATGCTTCTGACAAGATTCAGATTATAGGAGCGTCCATTTTTTCATTACTTCACACTTTTCATTATGTGCACACACCGTCAAGAGAGCCACGCAGCTCTCAGTGCACTTTTTCAAATGCATACATTTTCCACCTTTGTTGTGGCAAAGGTTATCTTGTGTTGTGGCAGCTGAAAACTAGACAGTGTTTTGAATCAAGTTTCAGGGTTGGGTCGGGCAAATGGGGTCAATTACTCAGGAAGCTGTGGGTTAGCTGTCAAAGGAGAGCAAACGGGAGCAGTGAGAAGACATCAGATATTGCAAGAAAAGCTAGATTAAGGTGATTTACTGCCTGAATGGGGAGGATCAATGTACAGTAGGTACCCATGTTAAATATTGACAGAGTTCTGCAGAGTATGCCATTAACAATCAAGTTGGGGAACAACATGTGCTTAGGCTTGTCACATCTCATATTTCCAGGATTGCTGTATCTCAAATGTCTCGGAAGAATAACCTGTGCCACCTTGCCCAACAACAGAGTTTAATCCTCTTATTATACCAGCCGATCACACTGTAAATATTTTAACTTCGGTGAATATTATTCAAGTCCACCCCAGGCACTCCCAGTTAAAAGCAATAAAATCAGAGTCCATGTATTGCCCCTCCTTCTCACTGTACAGGTTTATGATTTTAAATGTGGCTGGTCCTGGTCAGATGAGGTTGTTATTGATCAGACAAACATGGAGACTTAGTCAATGATTGATCAACACACTCTGCTCCTTTATGTCCCCACAGAGGAACTCAGACACATTCTGTAATACTTTGTAATTGTTTCTACAGTCTGTGCACCCACACTTGCAAAATCAAACTGGGTCATATAAATAATGTTATACCTTTAACCCACTCTGCTCAGAAAAACAAAAATCCCATGATCTCATTATGCTACATCCAGAGACATAACTCCACTCTGCAGGTCCGGTGCAAATGAGTAATGACATCTAGTGGACAGTTGCAGTAATGTAGCTTTTCAGGTGGTGCCCCATCTGTCCAAAAACTGAAGGCAAAGATTATGCATACAGGTCTTTAGTTGAATGACATACAGGCTAACTGCTATTATCTTGTCTAATCACTGACACTTAAAGGGTAACTTCATATTAACTTGGGCCCTATTTTCCTATGTTGTGTCAAAGTGACTGATAGGAACAACAACTTTTGGAAAAGGTCCAGTACTGAGCGAGAGGGCTGCAGCCAGCAGTAGCAAAACAAACTTCTGTGGGCAGTTGAGCACCATCAATATACAGTAGGTCCACTAAAAGTGTTTTTTTTTTTGCCACTGACAGGCTCAGATTGTTATTGTAAGTGTCTGACGACATTATGGAAAGGATCCCTACAGACAAAGACCTTTTTATTCAAGTGTAAGATCCTTGTTGTTTAACCAGAAACAGCCCTGAAATTGTTATTGCCGAAACAAGAGTTGGTGATTGTTGGAACAGTGGAACAATGAACCAAGACAGTCTTTGTGGGCTTTATTTTGCTTTTGTCGACTTTGAATGAAGTGTGTTTCGCACTGATAAAATAACTGTATATTTAAATGGAGTCTGGTGGGCTTGGTAAAAGCAATTTGGGGTCTGTTTCTTGTTTAAAAAAAGGGATCTTACACTTTAACAAAAATGTCTTTCTCCACAGGGATAAAAAAAACACTTTTAGCGGACATATTTAGACAATGTGAACATGTCCTGAGTGATTACCTTGCAGCCTGTTTTGCTGCTGCCAGCTGCAGAACTCTTGCTCATTACTGGACCAATTAAGAAAAAAAAGTTGTTACCCTTAGCCACTTAGAAACAAAAACATGGGATAAAAAAGGATGATAAAATTACTGTGGGATTTGCAATAGCAATTTCTGGGCTGTTTGTGGTTAAACAACAAGGAACTTACTCTTCAGTAAAAAGGTCGATCTCTGTAGGGATCCTTTCTATAATGTCATCAGACACTTAGAATAACAACATTATAGAAAGGATCCCTACAGAGAAAAACCTTTTTGTTAAAGAGTAAGATCCTTTTTAAACAATAAGCAGAGCCAAAACTGTTTTTACCAAGCCCACCAGACTCCATTTAAATATACAGTTATTTTATCAGTACAAAACGCACTTTATTCAAAGTTGACAGAGGCAAAATAAAACCAACAATCACCAACTCTGGTTTGGTTGAAATAAACCCTTAAATCAGTTAGTTAAATATGAAAATATGCTGGTTCTATACGCGCTTAAATTACTGTTTATTTAAATGGATTCTGGTGGGTGTTGTGATAGCAACTTGGGGGCTGTTTCTAGTTAAACAACAAGGACTTTACTCTTGAATAAAAAGGTCTTTCTCTGTAGGGATCCTTTCCATAATGTCGTCAGACACTTAGAATTTTTGTCTGAGCCTGTTGGTGGCAAAAGGTTTACACTTTCAGTGTACTTTAAGTAACCGTACACAATTGGCTGGCTCAGTAGTAAGTGATAACACTGCAACCTGTTTCACTGCTGTTGGCTGCAGTCTTCTCACTCACTACTGAGCCAGTTTCAAGAATTGTTGTCTTCATTAGATACTGAGAAATAAAAACATGGGAAAATAGGGTCCGGGTTGAGAAATACTGAAGTCACCCTTTAAAATGTGATAAATCCACAGATCATCAGATATCAGCCTGTTAATTAGGATAACACCAGCCTAATTATATGGTTATAAACAAATGAATATATTATTTCAAATACACGCCATTTCACGAGCCATTGCATGACATATAAGCATTAAAGTCTATTTTAAGACTAGTTACATTTTCGATTACATGGACACAACTGTATCAATCCAGATTAGAAAAAAACTATCATTTTACTTTTTTTTTAAAAAAAAAAAAAAAGAGAATGAAATGCACGTGATGCATCAACAAATAATGTTGCTTATTAACTTAAAATGCATTTTAAAAAATCAACGAAACCTTTAAACCTTACTGTACACGAAGACCAAATCATACCGTTAACCTGAAATGACTCACCATTACTCATACCCGCAAAGCGCAGCTGGCAAGATTGACCTAGAGGGGCTACCGTAGTTTTAAGCGAGGACAGTTGTTAGCAACAGTACAACACAAGTTAGGTGACAGGTAACAGCTGTGAGTCCGCGAACAATTAGACAAATACGTAGAAAATAGACAGTAATGAATGTTTGCTCTGTAGCTATGCTGTAGCTAAGTTTACGTCACACACTGAAGGTCATTTCGCGTAATTAGCTTAACTAGCAGGCGAGTGTGCGGCAGGTGGCTAGCTAGGTAGCCTGTAACGTTAAGCTAACGACAACGTCATAAGAAAATCAGAAACTAACGCGGTGGTGAGTTGATTAAAGGTGCCGCTGCTGTCAGTGTCCGAAAAATAAACCACCAGCAGTGCCACAATGAATGTCCCGAAAAGTGGCTATCGCGTATTTTCCGCTAACTCCTCCGTAGCATGCACAGAATTGGCCAAGAAGATAACAGAGTAAGTACAACGGGACATTTCTGGCATTATAGCCTCATGTTAGTGAGTAATTTATGTTGTACAACAGCTGTTGGAGCTGTTTTCGCCAACGAGAGTCCGTGTAGTCTAGAGTGAATAAATGGTGTGCTAAATAAATATATCATGTGGTCGTGACAGTTGTGTCTCAGATATGGTTAATCTCTAAATGTGTGCCCTTGTTCCACAGGCGGCTGGGAGTCGAGCTGGGGAAGTCTGTGGTCTTTCAGGAGTCTAACAGAGGTGAAGAGAATATTGTGGTTTTATAGGGTAAATGATAAATGAACATGTCAGGTATTTAGCTAGCTACACTATAAAACAAAGCACTTTAATTTGAGTTAGGCTACCTGAGTGCCTTGCATCTGTATTACAAGAGCAGAGGTTGGTTTGGGGTAGCATCACAACAACATACAATGTGTAAAATATGAAGGTGTGACACAGTTTTTATCTTGTTTCTTATTTATTTACACACATTAAAAAAATACAATACATAACATGCAAAGGAATGTGAAGGCGAATTGCCTAAAAACACTCCAAGGTCTTAAAAAGTGGGCCTCTCTAGGTATTACAGGAAATAATTCCAGCTACAGTTGCAATCAAATTTATTCAACCCCCACTGCATATTAGGCTTATTGGCAAAATATACAATTTCTCAGCTGTTTGTAATAAACAAATTACACAAGAACTGTTTAAGTAGTTCAATGAAACTAATATTACAAGGGTTTTGATCCAAATTCAACACAAAATGCTACTTTTAATGACTACTGCAGTCTCAAAATTATTCAACCCCTTCATGACAAGCATCTTCAGTACTTAGTAGAGCACCCTT